TTTGTTCCCCAGCCACTGTGCACAGTCCTCCGGGCAGTCCCTGGCTAGTAGGGTGATTTTTAGGTTAATTGTTAAGTCCTACCACCACTGTCTGTGCCATCAGGATCGCTCACGAGCACTGCCAGACCGGAGCTCCGTGTGTCTCCTTTTTTGGTATTTTCACGCAAATTCTTCTGTTAGTTGGGGTTTAGTCCACTTCTATATCCTTCCCTTCAAGGCTCAGGGGTCCAGGATTATCTTCTGTGTTGTGTTAATTGGTTTCCCTTTTCTTTGTTGAAGAGGGTCTGTGCAGTCTTTCTGCCTAGTCCACCATCTTGCCGGAACTCCTCCAGCATTATTTCTATTACAAAGGGCATATTTTCCAACTACTGGTAACTCTTCTTTGTTTCCAACTTTTTCATTCCAGTCACCCGTGATAATCAACATATCTTGATTGCATGTTTGGTCAATTTCAGACTGCAGAAGTTGGTAGAAATCTTTAATTTCCCCATCTTTGGCTTGGTGGTTGGTGCCTAAATTTGAATATAATAGTAGTATTAACTGGTCTTCCTTGTGGGAGTTTGGATATTATCCTGTCACTGACACCATTGTACTTCAGGATAGATCTTGAAACACGATGTGACAATGAATACCACACCATTCCTCTTCAATTTGTCATTCCCGGCATAGTAGATCATATGGTTGTCTGATTGAGAATAGCCAAAACCAGTCCATTTCAGCTCACTAATGCCTAGGGATATCAATATTTATGCATTCCATTTCATTTTTGACAACCTCAATTTTTCTAGATTGATACTTCGTACATTACACGTTCCAATTATTAATGGATGTTTCCATCTGTTTCTACTCATTTTGAGTTGTACCATATCAGCTAATGGAGGTCTATATCATTAAGGTCATCTTTACTCTGAGGAGTCAGCTCTTCCCCAGTCAAATTTTGAATGCCTTCTGGCCTTCTGGGCTCATCTTCCAGCACTATATCAGACACTGTTTCAGGGCTGTTTGTGAAGTTTTCCAGTAATGTATCAGACAGTGTTTCACTGCTATTCATAAGGTTTTCACTGGCCACTTCTTTGAGAAGTGGATGGCCTCTTCCTTTTTCTGAGTCTGTCCTAGCCCGGAAGTTCTTCTGAAACCTGTCCACCATGGGTGACCCTGCTGGCATTTGCAACATAGCCTCGAGCCTCACAGCAACACACAAGCCACCACAGGATGACAAACTGACAGACAAGTTCATCTCCTTTAGCTGTTCCTAACCCCTTTGCACCTGCCTACCTTGGGCAATGGCCTTAAAATAGAGCTGCCCACAAGCGAAAAGCAGCCCCTAAACCCTGGCCTGCCTACCTCAGGCCCTGGCCTTAATAAAGAGCCGCCCTCAAATGGAAAGCCCCTAAGCCCTGATGCACCTGTTTTGGGCACCAGCCTTAAAATACAGCTGCCCCTAAGACCTGGGCCTGCCTACTTTGGGCCCTGGCCTTAATAAAGAGCCACCCCCAAGCAAAAAGCAGCCCCCAAGCCCTAGGCCCACCTACCTCAGTCCCCAGCCTTAAAATACCACCCTCAAGTGAAAAGCAGCCCCCAATCCTGGGCCTGCCTACCTGCTTTTCTGTTGGAGGCAGCTGTTTATTAAGGTCAGGGCCTGAGGTAGGCTAGCCTGGGGTTTAGACTAAGGCTGCTTTTCGCTTGGGTGTGATTCTGTATTAAGGCCGGGGCTCAAGGCAAAGAAGTAGTGGGAAGGAAGAAGACAGGCAGAATCAGATTATAGAGTGTCCTGGATATTACACTAAGGAGTTAGAAGTTATCTCATTGTCAAGGGGATGGTTACTGTTCTATAGGCAGATGACAGGAGCAAAAGTGTTTTGGGAAACTTGGTCATCTTTAAGATGAATGTAGAGATTTAGACACGTAATTAGCTCCTGTAGTCACAGGAAGCAGAAGAAAAGAATGGATGGGAAATAAAACAAAGGTTGTTCAACAGGACAAGGTTTAAGAGTAAGGAAAAGGAAGATTTAAAGATGATTACTGTATTTCATAGTAGAGACATAGTTACATAAAGAGAGCTATGATTTTTAATACTTTATAATTTAAGTTCTCAAGGTAATTTTATAATCCTAGCGTTTATTACTATGTACTTCAGTGTCTATGGAAGTGGTATGAAATAATGATGTCATATATTTAGTTGCTTTAGTTTTAGCAGTATATGAAATTTAATTCAGTATAAAAAACTTCAGATTTGGAAAATAATACACTGCCTTTTTATAAGGTATAGTGTGGTTACATAGTGCCTAAGGCACTTGACTGCTAACCAGAAGGCTGGTGGTTCAAATCCACCAGCCACTCCTCGGAAGGAAGGTTGGGCAATCTACTTCTGTAGTGATACTGTCTCAGAAACCCAAGCAGGGGTCGCTATGAGTTGGGTCCGACTTGATGGCACATAACAACAACTCTGGTTACATCTGGATTGGTTTTATAACCAGAATTTCCAACCAATAGATAGTGATTTACCAAAATATCTTAGTGTCTTCCTTGGTCCAGGTTTCCATATCATTGTCTCTTTTTCTCCCCTCTTGAGATCTCAGGTCTTTAGAGAAATTAGAAAGTAACTCCTCCTCGTAAAAAAATTGGGGACTTGTATTAGTTAGGCTACAGATTGAGCTACTCCTAGTAGAGACCCAGAGCAGTGTTTGATTAAATAAGATAGAAATTTAGTTTTCACTCATATAGCACATTGCTCTCATGTAAATTTAGTTTTCTGTCATTGCTACTAAGTTTGCTTACAGAGTTATTCCTGAGAATTTCCTTCAGATGGTCACTTGTTAGCTCATGATTTGATCAGTCGTGATAATGTGTTTGGATGTACCTTGGAACTTCAGATATTGCTTTACAGTATTTTGCTGGTAGTTACTTCACTTGATTTAGCACTTTGTCATCTGCCTCTCCTATAAAACTGGGATAATGTGAGTGCTTGAGCAGAGTACAGGTCATCCATCCCTGCATTTCAGCTTCCTGTCTTCATCTTCACAAGTCTTTGTTAAATAAATAATGTAGAAAAAGCACATGTGCTCACAGCTAGGCTTTGGTTAGTGGAGTGCTTCTATTGCATATTGTATATGATTTGGCATAGGAATTATGATGATGTAAGAAAGTGACAAACTATAGGGGATTAAAGAACTTAACATTGTTTATTGAAGTGTTTCTTGAGCACTTATTATAGGTCTTAATATTCTTTTAGTTCTTATGTGGAAAATAGCAAATAGAACTGTCACTTTTTTCAGCCTACTACCTGTCAGGCACTCATTTAATCTTCCCTGCAACTCTTTGGAAAGGTATGATGAACCTTATTTTATAGATGAGAAAACTGGATCATGAAGATTCAGTTGCTTGCTTCTAGGTGACTGCTGCTTAGTACTTGTGGATTTAGGTAGGAAGTTTCTGTAGGTCCTGTGCTATGACCTGAAGAAAGTAATGGATGTAGATGTGGAGGAAGAAGATTCTAACTTGATAGGGAACATTCTGAAGAAAGCATTAGAGAATAGAAATTATAAAACTACTAGTGGTTTTTAAGATTAATCTAAATTATTTTTGTTTTACTGTGATGTAACTAAAAGGTACTGTTTTATATATTCCATGGAACATAGCAGAGAGTGTTGTTAATTTTGTATGTGCCTCTCAAGTCAGACAGAAGAATTTCACCTTCTTTTTGAAGTCATCCTCATTTTCTCCATTCACAATTCAATGTTCTCTGCCTTATCTCCCCATACCTGAATGGGTGCCTACATTCAAATTTCACACTCTGCTCTTTGAACATGTTCCTTCTGTCTATGTCTAATTTATTTTCATTCCACTCACAGTGCTTTATGAAGTTATTTGCACGTTTTAGACATAGTAGAATCTTAGCAAAATAAATCTTTAAAACTGTAATACTTATTTATAGAGAGAAAATGCCGCATAATTTATACGCAGAAGCAAGAAGGAATTAGTGGAAGTCATTGTTCAATGGAGGCTTTCACCCTGCCAAAGTGGCTATGAATTGAAAAGTTAAAGAGCCATTGGTTGGAACCAGTAGCATCTAACCAAAGTTGTGACTAAAAGAAGAGTTGCTACAATTACATTTTTGGAATTCCCTTTGTTTCCTTCTGTGTTTTAGAGACATTAGAAGAAATGGACAGTGAGTTGCTCAAGTGTGAATTCTGTGGGAAGATGGGATATGCTAATGAATTTCTGCGGTCAAAACGATTCTGCACCATGTCATGTGCCAAAAGGTATTTTCTAAAATGTTTCGTGACTCACAAACCAGTAATCACTGCAGTGACACCAAAAAGCCTCATGTAGTCTATCAGTAGCAAAACATAAGTAGTACAGAAAATAATATAGGTATCATTTGGAGCTACTTTGCTATTACTAAATTTTGCTCTGTGAAAATCATAACACAATAAGTTGTACAGTAAATCTAATATTGAAGTAGAAATCTTCTGGTGGTTAGAATATGTTTATGAGTATCTCCCCCTGTGAAATCATCAGAACATTATTAGAATATTAGTCCTTAAGGTATCCAAATAATATTTGTTTTATCAGCTGATTGTTTATCAACATTGAAATACTTGGATATTCTAGTTACCTAGTGCTGGTGTAATACATAGGGAGCCCTGGTGGTGCAGTGTTAAAAATGCTTGGCTGCTAACTGAAAAGTTTCTCCTCCATGGGAGAAAGATGTGGCAGTCTGCTTCCCTAAAAATTACAGCCTTGGAAACCCAATGGGGCATTTCTACTCTATCCTTTACGGTCACTAGGAGTCAAAATTGATTTGACTGCAGTGGGTTTGTTTCTTTATTGTAACAAATACTACCATGGGTGGGGGGCTTTAAAGAAGAGGAGTTTTATGTCTCACAGTTTTGGAGGCTTAGAGTCCAGTTTCAGGGTGTTGGCAAGGTTAGGGTCTCTTTCTGTCTTTCTGTCAGCTCTAGGAAAAGGTCCTTGTCCCTTTCTGCTTCTCTAGCCCTGGGCATTTCTTAGCTGCTTTTAGATGTATTTTCCCATTACACCAATCTTCTCTTGTGGGTGTATGTGTCTTTTCTGCTCTTTTTTATAATATATCACTCAGAAGGGATTAGGGTTAGGACCCACTCTACTCTGGGGTAACTTCATTAGCATAATAAAAACCCTGTTTCATATTTATAGCTACAGGGGTTAGAATTTCAATATAAGTTTTTTTGAGGGGCATAATTCCCAGGATTTACTTTGTTTTAAAAGTGTTTTAATCATATCTGTTTGAACTATATTTATTTTAGGTTTTTATATGGGACAGCTATAGCAATAAATTCCCCTACATTGTCACATTATCAGACAGCAAAATATCTGTCTTTTAAAATCAATGTTTTTAGTAGTAATAATTATAGATAAATAGGTGGTGCAAATAGTTAACACACTTGGCTGCTAACCAAGTCTGCCCAGAGGCACCTTGGAAGAAAGGCCTGGAGACGTACTTCTGAAAAATCAGCTCCTAAAAACCCGTATGACGTACAAATCTGTTCTGAAATGTGGGGTTGCCATGAGTCAGAACAGACTCGGCAGCACCTGGTAAAATGATATATTAATAGTATGTATAACAAAAGAGGTGTTCGGTCTCTTCATTAATTTTCTAATTTCCAAGTTTACTTTACATTGAAAAAAAGAAACCCTACTCTGATTTTGATTATAAATCCTAACTGTTTAGATATTTACCACTGAAATTGAAGTATGCACACAGTTATTTTGAAATTTGTTCTGTGTTCAAAAAAGTGCTTATTCCCTCAAAGAATTTAAGATCTTGATTATATATATCAGGGAATTTCTTGCTTGAACATTTTATTTCTATGGATGCTAAAATATACTTAGTAAAGCTTAAGTAAGTAATAGTATATTCCTCCAAAAATAGGTTCATTGGCTTCTCAATTGTCAAGCTGTTATACAAAGTCTTTCATATTTTTTATAAGCCTATAATCAAATTATATAACCCATGCTTTAACTTGGTATTTTGTTAGTCTGCATATACCACAAGAAAAAACAGTGGCTCTCTGATTCTAAGTGATTAAAAACTCTGAAAACTTGGGAAAAGGACTATCTTTGATAATATTTTAAGCACTTATCTATTTAGAAATATTTCAAGACATTCAACATTTAATCTTGTTATGTGTTCACCCATTTGTGGTATTTTTTGTTACATTAGTACTAGGTAACCAAGACAGAATTTGATACCGGGAGTGGGATGCTGCTGTAACAAAGTATGGAAGTGATTTTGGAGGAATTTCAATATGCGTAATAGTAAGAGCCTAGTTTGCCTTGAACAGACTATTGGTAGAAATAAGGACACTGGATGATTCTGATGAGAGCTCAGTAAGAAATGGGGAATCTGCATTTATACTCTTATAAGGTGAGCCGCTTTAGAGAGTTACGGGCTCCATCATAGGGGATAAGACAACAAGGAGAAGAGGATAAATTAGGACAGAAAGGAACTGCTGCTGTTTACATGTAGGCCTAAATATTTGGAGATCTAAATACTTAGGGACTGTATATCAAATATATAGTTCTTTTCTTTTCTTTATTCATTTTCTATGGGGAAAGAAGCTTTGTCAGTTGATATAAATAGAAATCAGAAACCTACAGAATTGAGCTCACCGGTGAAGAGAATGAACACAGCAGGAGCTTCTTGATTGTTTTGGGGTAAAGTAAAATGAAGTATCCATCTGGGCGCTATTTTCTTTGTTATACTTTTCAAAGAAAAATAGCCTGTTAATTCTCATAGTACTTTTTACTTCTCCCTCCTGTCGTTTTCATAAAACATAGGTGAGGAAAACTTATTTTGGTATCTGCATAACGATCTTAGAACAGTTCTATAGCAAAGTGAATTGGAATTTATTTTTGTCATTTTCCTGAAAAATATTCTTAGCGCAAAAGAGTTTTAAAAATATGAAATTATAATTACAGTTTTATATGTGTTTTTTTAAAAAAGGAATTATAGATATTTTTCTTAGTCTTTTCATAGTTTTCCATTCTTCTTTTTCTCACCAGGGAAGAAGTCAGCTAAATGCTTCCTGCTACTTATTATTATGGCCCACAGGCTAAGGATAGTTTTTAAATTTTTGGAAAATATCAAAATATTTCATGATATGAAAATTATATGAAATTCAGATTTCAGTGTCCATATATAATGTTTTATTGGAACACAGCAAAGCTCATGTGTTTACATATTGTCTGTGGGTGCTTTTGTGCTACTGCCCTGGGGTTGAAAAGTTACAGACAGGCACTGTGTGGTCTACAAAGCTGAAGATACTAACATGGTCCTTTACAGAAAAAAGTTTTCCAGCCTTTATTTTAGGGCTTTGGAACCTGATAAATGAGATAGAACGCTTTCATGTTATCATACTTTATAAAATTCTGTGTTCAAAATCACTAGGCAGTCTATTTTAATAAAAGAAAAATAATCTTTCAGCCAACCAATTTTAAAGTATTACGTACTTGTATTTTCTAAGTAGTGAGGGCAATGAAATCCTTGTGTAACTTCAAAATCTCAGCTTTACATATTCATTTTTATTTCATATATATTTGAAAAATATTTTACTAGTTGTTTTGAGATTCCTCCTTCTTACTACCCTACCTATTTTTTATTAGTCTCTTCAGAAATGATTACTAAGAAAATATCAATTTGAATAAACATATAAATAGTTAATATATAACTTCTGTTTCTCCTGGAACCTTGAATTAGTTTGCTGCTATGAAAAATGTTACCTGTATTTTGCATAAAAATTCCCACTATTATGCTGTTATCAGGAGAAAATATCAGTACCTTGTTAAAGGTTGTCAGTATTAGGTTGAGATATATATAATATAACAGGGGCCATGCTTTGATGTTTAGCATAAGTAAATCCATTGAACAGTATGGTTTACTTCATGAGGTGTATAGTCCATAATGAAGTACATGATACTTACTGATTCACACTTGCACTTTCAAGTCATAATTGAATACTAAGTGGCATGTCTCATGTTATCATTTATTTTTTTTTCCCACTTGAATTTCTTAGGTACAATGTTAGCTGTTCTAAAAAATTTGCACTTAGTCGTTGGAATCGTAAGCCTGATAATCAAAGTCTTGGGCATCGTGGCCGTCGTCCAAGTGGCCCTGATGGGGCAGCAAGAGAACATATCCTTAGGCAGGTCTGTAGAAACCTTGCTTCAATGTACAATACCCTTTTCAGAAATACAAGGAAAGTGCAATGCTGTATTTTACTTGTACTACATTTTCCAGCTTCCAATTACTTATCCATCTGCAGAAGAAGACTTGGCTTCTCATGAAGATTCTGTGCCATCTGCTATGACAACTCGTTTGCGCCGGCAGAGTGAGCGGGAAAGAGAACGTGAGCTTCGGGATGTGAGGATTAGGAAAATGCCGGAGAATAGTGATTTGCTACCAGTTGCACAAACAGAGCCATCAGTATGGACCATTGACGATGTCTGGGCCTTCATCCATTCTTTGCCTGGTATGTAATTTACCACCTTGGCCTTAGTATTTTTCTTGTGCATACACACAGGAATGATGTTAGATCCCATCCACACCGATTACACAAAAGGGTTAGAGAAGAACTGTGTATATATATTAATTAAATGGCATTTGCTATTGAAATGTGATCTCTTTCCTCTTGCTTATTCCCTCAGCACAACTGGGTGTTTTCTCATACCCCCCCAAGTCGATAAAAACTGACTAGTCCTGCTTCTGCTGTGACACCTCAGCCGTGAAGATATTAAAGGTGCTCTCTTCTCTTCAGTCTGATTTCTCTCGAGAGGTCAGTAGAGAGATTGAATCAGACACTTCTTTCCTTCTGCTCTTCTATTTTTCTATTCTATTTCCTCCTCATTTTCTAATTGGACCTTTTATAAATGAAATAAAAGAGACTCCCCCCTACACACACATTTTTGAAAGCTAATCTAGCCCTTGTAGAATATGAGAAAAATCTGGTTTCTTTTTTAAAAATCAAGCTGATTCTTTTTAAAGAAACTGCATCTTTGATTTCTTGCAATAAATAAACATCAAGAGCACTTCTGAAATTTTACTTTTTAAGTAGGTAGTTGAAATTCAGCTATGATATTCCATTTCAGTATGGAGGATAACTTTCTTATTTATGTTTTCCTGCTCTTAATTCTCATTTTGGTACTCTTTTCCATCAGCTTAGGTCTTTATGTTCTTTATTTTTTTTTCTTTAATGCAATAATAGTCTTTCATACTCACTTTTTCCAAGGGGCTGGTTTTACTAAAGACCACTGTACCTTTGCTCATGATGAGACCCACACCAGTTCTGTGTATTAATAATGTATTTTTAAATAAACAAGTCTTACCAGTTACTTTGACCTTATGAATATGGAAAACAGGGTTTTTTGTTTTTTAAGTGTTTGTTCCCTTTTGGTTTTATTGTGAATCATACCATTTCTCTTGAGACCAGCTCTTCAGAAGAATTCAATCTCATTTGAACTTGTTTATCAGACTTACTAAAATTAATCTAACTATTGTTGCTGATCAGCTTCTCTGTGAAGATGACTGAGGGCTCAGCAGCAAACATACAGCTGATGTGCTGTGCTGGTGAAGAAAGTATACTCAGAAATATCACTGCTTGGAAAAAAGATGTCAGCCATATTACCTTATACAAAGAACTCTTGTTAAAGTACTTTATCAAAAGCTTGTTTTAAAAATGCTACATA